TGTGTTGGCTTTTTTGGCAGCTGCTGCACACGGCTGGCTCCTATTTAAATGGTTGTCCACTAGGATTCCAAGATCCTTCTCACTACTACTGAGCAAGGTACCACAATTGACAAAACAATGGGGAAAAAGAAAACAAAAAAGTGAAACTAATGCTCTCCTGCAGAATACTTGAACGGTATCGCATTCAACAGTCATATTTTTAAAAAAAAAAATAGGGAGAAAAGTTGGTCCAGAAATCTATAACCCAATAAAGATCATTGTCGTGATCTTTAACTGGGTGTAATGTAGGACAACAATTTTTGTACCAAGGCCATTCGTATCAATTAACGTGGAGAATGTGACCCCCGACTCCTGACGGAATAACATAACATTCCCCTTAATGGGGAAGCCAGCAGGAAGTCGTTTTTGCCTCCCCGGCTCCGGAAGCTTTCTTCAAGCCTCCAGGAGGGCAAAACGGACCTTCCCGGGCTCCAGAAGCCCTCCGGAGGCTGGAAACGGACCTGTTTCCAGACTTCCAGTATTTCTGTTAGGCGTTTTTTCGCCGTCCCAGAGCCTCCAATGGGCCCTGCACTTACCTGGCAACCAAAACGGGCCGCGTGGAGACTCCTGGGAGGGGAGGGGTGGGTGGAGTGAGCCGGTCCTTGTAACTACCAGTTTGGCGAACCAGATTAAAATTAACATTTGCTTGGTCCGAACTGTTCCGAACCGGCTGAATCCCACCTCTGCCACTATGAACTTTTTATATTATTGAATAGTAGACATCAGCTCCCATTTTTGACCTGGTACATAATACAGACCAAGATGCTTTCCAGAATAATATCTATTTCGTTTTCCAAATGGGGGAAGGAAGAGAAATGACTCGGAGTTTTCCTTATGACTTTTCTAATGTTTCTGTCTTTCTAACAAGTGTTAGTGATGTCTGGCAGGAGCTCGGCTCCAATGGGGCAAGCAAACTTTCCAGCCCACCCACCGTCTCTTTTGTACTTCTCGTCACACCTCATCTCCACCACAATGGGGTAGTTGGACCATTGCAGACGGGCGACCTGTGTGGCCGTCACATCCCGCTCTGAACAATTCTGCAAATCAAGCAGCCAATGAAGCCTTAGCAGGACCTGCTGTGGCGGAAATTCAAAAAACGCCGGAAGGTGGGGTAGGGATTTAATGAGGAAGAACTGGAGATGGTATGGACTGCTCAGCGTCTCCCGAGGGAGTTCATGCAGGTGGTCTAATGTATAAGGTACATCAAGGCAAACAGGCAAAACTGAAAGAGCGCACTTCTCCATGAGTGTATTAGTTGTGTTGGGGAAAGGGGTGCCAGGGTCAAACAGAACAGTCAAGCAGCAGCTAAACCCTGTGGCCACTGTTGCTACCAAGGAGGTAGCTACCACGTGCTGAGAAAAGAGCATATAGTTAGAAGAACCTGGCTGTTGTGGCTCGCCAGCAGCCAGCAGAGCTGGCAGCAGAGTCAGACAGTGAGGAGGTTGGGGAGGGACATGGGCCAGTCCTGGAGGCTGGGGAAGGCTCGGACGAGGGCTCTGCGTGCCGCCTGGCAGCTCTCAGCTGCCTTTGGAGCTAAACAGCAGTGAGGCAGAGGAACAGCTGGAACCTGTTCCCAGTGTGCGCATGCGCAGAGCTGCCAGAAAAAAATAACAGCTCAGAAATCAGGGCCGGCTTGGGAGTAAAGCCACAGTTGGACAGTGAATGGCCTCCTCTCATAGGAAATAAAAGAGGAGTGAAAGGGGAGGGGGCTTTTGCAGGAAACAATTCATTCGTCCATTCATCCGCTCATTTCAGGAGTGTGAAGATCTGTCCGTGGATCTCAGAGACTCTGTGCCAAGTCTTTCCTTGCACAGCAGCTCATTTGGAAAATATTGAC